ACGACTATTAAAAAATATTTTAGCCTCTCCCCGTCTAGGGTAAAAAACATTTTCATACTGAGGCGTCGTCGTCAGTACCCTTAAAAGATTCTCAAACTTCCGTCTCTATTTTTTTCTCTGGTTGTACTCGCTGGAACCAGAGAAAATTAGAAAAGCTCACTTCTTGACTCTGACGTTTCAGAGTACCGATATTTTGGCAGAAGGCCCTTCATAATTTTTCTTGCTCGGGGGGGTTGGCTCAGGGTGCCTTTTTTTGAAACGTCATCATTGATCAGGGACCTGTGACTGTTAGAATACCAGAATGAGTAAAACAAGGTAGTACAGGGGAGGATATAGTGTTGGAGATGTACAATCTATGAACACAAACCTAGTTAGCCTATAAATTCTATATGTAAACATATGTATAAGTTGACACACCCCCTAGGCTAGATAAGGGGCAGTGCTGAGCAAAAAACACGCAACTCAGGGCAGCACTACTAGTCCAACCTCTGAGGTAGGGGTCTAAAGACCAGTCAGCAAGAGTACAAACATGACCAGAGCAAACCAGGGCGGCACTACTAGTCCGGCCACCGGAAGACAAGCCACAAGGCCAGTCAAGAAGGTATATATAAAGAGGAGTACAAAATCAAGGTCCTAGCAAGTGAGGAGCTACAGGAACTAAACCAAGCTGCAAACAGTGCCGCTGATGACCTTTAGGCGCAAGCGCCTTCGAAAAGTAATCCGCTATGTTGCCACCGGAGGCCAAATGTACTACGCGGGCCTAGCGGCGGTGCTGTCGCTCGCGCAGGGGGAAGTACTGCAGCTGGATGTGCTTCGATCTGCCCTCAATTCGAGGCTCCTGAGATAGGAGGATCATGGCCCTGTTGTCAGCGTACAGGACCGGGGAAGAGCTGGGCCGCTCACCTAAGTAGGTTAGCAAGAAGGTCAGCCAGCAAAGCTCCTGTGCCGCCATGGCACCTGCGTAGATCTCAGCCTCACAGCTAGACTGGGCAACAGACGAGGAGCGAGTGGACCTCCACGAGATGGCACCCGAACCAAGGCTAAAGCAATAGCCCTCGGAGGACCTGAGGGTCTTAGCGTCGTCTGCCCAAGAAGCGTCTGTGTGCCCAGTAAGGACCACTGGCTTGCATCCTCCCAGCACTAGCCCCATGGCCGATGTACCTGCTAGATAATGCAAAACCCTCTTAGATGCCGACCAGTGATGTGGTTGGTGTCTGCCTGTCGCCACAAAGCGAGAAAGGATGCTGAGAGGGTATGCCAAATCAGAACGAGTGCAAGTCATCAGGTACATGAGGCAACTCACCAGCTCTGCGTAAGGACCACTGGGCTCTACTGACTCCTAAGGAACTAGAGCTGAGAGCCTGTGGCCTACTGGCAGAGGTGTGGGCTGTGCGGAGGAGAACTAAAGACCGAACCTCTGAAGGACCTGGCGCACCAAGTGTGACTGTGTGAGAGTGATGGTGTGTGCTGCTCTGTCCCTGGAGATCTGCAGGCCAAGGTAGCGGTGCACCTCTCCTAGGTCAATGCAGGTGTGTCTCCTCAGCAGCTCGGCCTTTACAGAGGCCAGCGTGTCTCTGTGTGCAGTAGCGAAGACCAGGTCATCTACGTAAACAAGGATGTAGAACGGAGTCTGGCCAGCACGAACGAAGAGCGAGGGGTCTGCAGAGCACGGAAAGAAACGCAGGTCAGCTAGCATAGCATGTAGCGTGTCGTGTCACTGATGGGGCGCCTGTCACAGGCCGTAGACCGGGCGTCGGAGGAGCCACTGGGTCCCAAGAGGGAAGGTATCATTGAAGCCTTGTGGATGGTGCAGGTAGACCTGCTCGTATGGGTTGCCCTGAAAAAACGTTGTGGAGAAGTCGAGTGAGTGGAGCTCGTTTAGCAGCGCTTGAAAAGTAGTCATCTTTGGGATAGGGACGAAGGTCTGAAAGAAGTCCACACCCTCACGCTGACTAAAGCCTCTGGCCACGTAGTGCGCTTTGAACATAGGTGGCTCTCCAGGGGGGCGCTTCACCTTGAATATTGACCGGCCATCGACTACGTTCACCCCAAGTGGGGAAACTGCGTCGACGTAGGTGCTAGTGGATCTCCAAGATGCCATCTCCTGCTCCATGGCAGCTATCCACTGAAAGGCCCAAGGTCCCGAGGTCGCCTCAGCGTAAGTGGGAGGGATCGGGATGTCAAGGGCGTCTGGGTCTCCCTAAGGGACTAGCAATATGGAACAGAGATGGGGAGCGGCCTCAGACAAGAAAGCGAGCACGTACTGCCTGTCCTCTAGGACGTCACTGCCAAGGGCAGGGGAACCCTCGACGGACGGAGGACAGACATGGTCAGCGACCAGAGCAGTGGCGTAGTCAAGGCGGCGGGTAGAGGTAAAGTCAGCGACAGCAGACTCGAGACGGGTACAGACGGGTCGGTAACGAGGGAGGCAAGGACCCGAGGAACAAGAGGACGAGCGGCACGAAGGTAGTTAGATAGAGGAGGCGGAGCCACAACAAGTGATGGCGGAGGAGGCGAAGGCAGGAGGGGAGGACGAGACGCGTGGGAACAAAGCAACATAGGGTGAGAACGCTGAGCAGGAGAGATAGGACGAGCACGGGAGGGACGGCGAGACGAGTAGTGGGACTGAAGCGTTGGGTCAAGTGACACAGGAGGAGTAACAAGAGGGGAATGAGGGGGGAAACGAGCTGACGGAGGAAACACAGGGCCGTAGACCGAAAGGGGAGGAGGGGGTGGGGGAGGCGCAAGCAAGCGGTCAGGGGAGGGAAGGCCAAGCAGGCAAAGGGCGGACACTGGCGGTGACTTCTGCTGCTGCTGCTCGACGCCGACACCTGGACTGCCAGCTTCACCACAGCTACCTCCAGAACACTCCAATACAGCACCCCCAAAACGAGCACATCCAGAACGAGAACCCTCTCCAGCACCGGTGCCACCCCCAGGACCGCCGAGACAAGCCACGACAGGAACCCCAGGACTAGCACCCTCCTCAACCCCAGAACCCCCAGCAACCATAGACGACTGCTGGTGCGGTGGCGGCGGCTGCTGCTGCAGCTTTGAAGATGGCTGTGGCTGCTGCTGCGGCGGAGTAGGAGATACCGGGGGAGAGACAGGCAGCGAGAAACGTGTCGCGGGGCCACAGAGTTAGCGGACTCCTTGACCGGGAGAATCAAGGGGAGGGGAGTGACGTGAGACACACCAGATGGAGCAGGACGGGGAGGGAGGGGAGCAGGGGCTACTGGGGGAGTGGGAACCGGAAACAGGGGCGGGGAAACCAGGAGACCTCATTGGGTAAAGCGGTGGTAGATGGAGACAGACTCGTCAAAAGTGACGTCACAGGAGTGAAGGAAGCGTTGAGACGGCGGGTGGTAAAAGTGCCAGTCAGACGAGTTAAGGGGGAAACGGAGGAAGACACAGGTGACAGTGCGGGCAGTGAGCTTGTCCGTGCCAGAGGCACGAACGTGGACAAAGCAGCCCCAGACGTGGAACGCGGACGCGTCACCAGGGAACTCAGTCCAAAGAAGGGTCGGCGAAACCTGCGGCCGCGGGGAGTGCGGTCAGAGGTTAAGCTGGAAGAGCGGCATAGCGAACAGCGAACGACCACGGAAAATGCGGTGAAACAGCATGGATCATGGAGGTACGAGCCACCTCCATGACCAAACCGATGAATCACTCAGCGACTCATTCTGTTGCGAGGATTCCAGTAGGGTGTACGACTCGGTCATGCTCGCCGCACGTCAGACCTTTACAAGCCGACCAGAGGCGAACTCGCCACCACGGTCAGAGTGGAGACACAAAACAGGGAGACCGCGGTGGAGGCGCGCAACTACGACCCACGGGATTAGAGCGTCACGCACATCAGCCTTCCGCTCTAGGGGAAACACCGTGATGTAGCGCGTGTAGTCGCTGACGAGCACGAGAAAGTAGCACTCGCGACGCGGCCCAGCCCAGACGTCAAGGTGCAGGGTCTGGAATGGTGCAGTGGTAGGGCGAAGCGAGAGTGAGGAGCACGGCGCAGCCGGCCCTCGACGCAGGGCGTGCACGGTGGCGCATGCGAGGGAGGGAGGGCAGGGAGCAACGGAGGGAGACCTAGGACGAGACCATGCTGAGACATGTGATGCAGACGCAGGAGTGCGGGGTGACCTAGTCGGTGGTGCCATAGAAGTGACGAGTGAGTGAGCGACTGACATGAGCAAGCCGCAGCGACCTGGGTAGACGCACGACTTGGGGAGGACGCACCCACCGGGGGATGCAGTATCCAGCATAAACAGGTAGACACCGGGTCCCGGGGGAACGTCACAAGGGGGGCACCTGAGGTGGCCTCGGTATAGACAGCGTACCACTGGAGACCACGGAACGCTGTGGTGATGCCGAGGTCCTGAAGACAGCCGACACCAACTAGGTTCCTAAAGAATGAAGGGATGTGCAGGCCTGTAAGAGAACCCGAGGGAATCGCTGGACAGGGAAGAGTAGTGTAGCTACGGGCAATGTCAGGACCAGAGGAGGGGTCAGCAAGGGCGACAACGGTAGGTGCTGCTAGCGGCGTGAGTGTGGCATGGTCGCGAAAGAAGCAGGCTGACGCACCAGAGTCAAGATAGAAGGTCCTACGCCTGACACAGAAGGGAATTCTGTATTGGAAACATGTAGTACACCTAAACTAGATAACACAGGGTAATAAGATCCGGGCACACTAGAAGCATCAGCATACAGAGAATGCAGGGCTAAATAAATCTGATCAATGTCTAAGTCCAAGACAGACACATTGTTGCGCAGCAGACTGGGTCAGTTAAGGAGGTACGGGGCCGGGCCGAAGCGGGGACGAAAGAGGTTGTCGAGGCGGCGGAAGCAGCGGGCGGTCGGATGTGGGCGACGACACACAGTGCCGCGGAGGGGGCCGGTCTGGAGCTGGTACTGGTAGCTCACAGCACCGAAGCTACCGACGAACGCCGAGCTGCGAGGGCTGCCACCGCAGCCACCACCGATAGAGGCTCCTGGGCACCCAGGCGGGAGGCGGGCCCACGACTGCTGCTGCTACTGCTGCGACGGCTGTTGCTGCGGCGGCTGCTGCTGCTGCTGCTCCTGGGCACCAGCCCTGATCCCCTCGTCAGACCCACTGTCCCCGGCACCACCACCACCACCACCACCACCACCACCACCACCACCACCACCACCCCCACCCCCACCCCCACCACCACGCCCCCCCTTTGGGGCCACGACGGCCCCGACGCGGGCGTAGCTGCGGGGACGCCGCAACTGCGGCCTCAGCGGCAGGGGCAGTCGCAGCGACCGCGGCTGTAACGTCCGCGTACGTACACTGGGAGGGCGCACAACCCTGAAAGATAGGGACTGCTGCACCACCACTTGACTGAGCGATAGTTCGCTGGAGAGTCTCTATCTCAGAGAGGGTGGTGACAAAGTCAGTAAGGGTGAGGTCACCTGGGTGCTGACTAAGGAAGTGGTCGTGGGCAGTGGCTAAGCGGTCCGGAAGGCACATAGCAAAGAGGTACAGTGTAGCGCAGATTGGCGGGGGGAAGGCAGTGAGCTGTGCGTCCGTGCTAGCGGTGCGGTAGCTAGCCTCTAGTGCATGGAGGTGGGTGGCTAAGTCAGCGACAGTGGGGAAAGCGGCAAGATCAGGGAACAACACGGTGGGGTGCGTAAGGGACCAGCGGGGCATTAAGGGCTGGTGGGGTGCGTAAGGGACCAGCGGGGCGCTAAGGGACGGCGGGGCGCATAGGGGACCAGCGGGGCGTGAGGGGCCGGTGGGGCGCAGGGGGACCAGCGGGCGTGAAGGGTGGGCAGGGAGCGAGGGACGCAAAGTGACCTGCGGGCGGGAGAGGGGTCGTCGGGGCGCTAAGGGCCGGCGGGGCGCTAGGAACTAGCGGGGTGCGCGCTAAGGCCAGCGGGACGAGTTAAGGGAACGGCGGGGCGGTAGGCTAGGGCGGGGCCGGAAGTGGGTGGGCGGACCTAACCTACTATGATACCATGTTAGAATAGCAGAATGAGTAAAACAAGGTGGTACAGGGGAGGATATTGGGTGGGAGTTGTACCCTCTATAAATACAAACTTATCTATCCTACAACTTCTACATGTAAACATATATATAAGTTGACAGTGACAAGTAAAGAGCATGTATTTGAACAGCGTGTTTTCTGTAGTTGACCCTATTTATTCAGCGCAAAAAATTACAATACCCTAAGTATATGATAAGACATAGGGGTCTTATTGTCGAGTGACTGGTGGATAGAACTGGTAACTTTATGAGTTGGTATCAGAGCCATCCGAGGTTCAATTCCTGGTGTACACGCTATCCCAGCGGGGGGGTGTGTCGTGGCACAGGGATAACCCCGTCGATCCTCTCCCTATCTCTAGGGAGGGTACTGGGGAGGTTTTCTTCGGGGAAGGTGGATATATGGAGCCTAACCCTCCTGATGATATCCCTTGTTGTCCCAGTGGTTAAGACTGGTGACTTTATGACTTGGTATCAGCGCATTGGTGACTCGGGTTCAATTCCCAGTGCTAGCGCTGGAGAGGCACTCGTGTCTTCCACCTATCCCAGCGAGGGGGGGTGTCGAGTGATCCGCTGGGGGTTACCCTTGAGAAGATCCTTGGGGAAGGGCCACAGATGCAGAGCCTGGGGGGCTATGGGCGCACTGACTCGCTATTAACAAGCCCTTTTAGCTAAGTGGTTAGTGGCTGAGTTTCTAACACTTATATTCGGGCTTTTACTGTAATTTTTTTTGCGAGGCCTGAAAAAACAGGGAGCTACGGAGGGGGGACCCTGAGTGATCAGCGTGCCCCAAAACGAATCTGAGACACTGGTTATAAGCTGTTGGGCTGATAAAAAGCCTTAGGACCTTTTCAGAGACTAAGTTCCACTTGTATAAAAAGGCTTGAGTAGTGCAGCGGAAGTGTTGAGTAGTTGAACCCTTGCACTAGTATGTGAGAGCAAGTGACTGATTAAACGAAGCAAGCATACAGCAATATATAGAAAGTAAGAAATGGAGCAGTTGTAGAATACAGTTGAAGGAAAAGTTATCGAGTCGCACAGTGACTCGATTGTCGGTTCGGTTACCATCCTTGCAGTCGCAACGGTCAATCGCAACCTCCGGTTGCGACCCTTCAAGTCCCTTCGCCCTTTCGTATTCTTTCGTCCAACCTCTTTGTGTAACCTTTCTTTGACTCGCGTACCTGATACGACTTTCCTTCGAGTGTAGTGTTACACTTCAGAAACGTTTAAGTCTTTGAGGTATTTCCAATACTCCCCTTCGTTTATGGAGTGCTGACTTGTCCGGATTCGGTGACGTTTGCCTGCCCGGTCAGCAGCATGCAGTAATCGAACTTTGCCTTCACTAGTTTCTTGGTCAGGTAATCTGCAACCATTTCTGTCGTGGGGCAGTAACTGAGTTGAAGTCTCCCCTTCGCGATCTCATCCTTGATGAAGAAATACCGCAGGGCGATGTGCTTGGTTCGATTGGCAAACCCATTTTTGTTCGCGATTTTGATCGCGGATTGATTGTCGCTGAATAACGAGAAGGCGGGCATGGTCGTAATTTTCGCTTCCTCGAGCAGCTCCCGCAGGTAAAGTCCCTCTTTGGTTGCAGTGCAGAGAGCGATGTATTCCACTTCAGCCAAAGATAGTGCGATTAGTTCCTGCTTGCTCGACTGCCAGGAAATAGTCCCGATAGGCACTAGTCGGTAGATGTAGCCCGTTCTGGAGCGCCGATTCCCCTTGTCTCCCGCGTGGTCAGCGTCGACATAGCCGAGTAGTTGTATGGACGACGGTGTCGCTTTGCTGTAGGTGAGTCCGATCGTCGGCGTAGAGACGAAGTAGAGCAGTGCCCGATTCAGCTCCTCGAGGTGTTCTTGCTCCGGCTGCTTCAGGTGTGTTGCTAGTTGACTAACGCTGTAGGACAGATCCGGTTAGCAGGTTACGGCTGCGAACAGGAGACAGCCGAGCTTCTGTTGGTATTCTTGGATCTGCTTAGTGGGGAGCTTCGCGGAGGTGTCGCTGTTGTCGTTCCCGTAGCGATAGGGGGTCGCGATTGCGACCGGCGTTAGTCCGAATTTCTTCGCGACGACGCCTGCGTACTTTCCGGCGTGTAGGTAGAACGCCGAATCGTCTTCAACGACGTTCAGCCATAGAAACTGGGTGACAGTGTCTGACACCGTGAGTGTTAAATCACTCTTCAGCTCCCCTACAAACCAGGTGACGACGTCGGTAGTGGAGCCAGCGTAGAGTAGGTCATCGACGTAGACGATGAGAAGGACAAAGTCGCCCCCCTTCTGCAGTCGGTACATCCCTTGGTCGTGCAGCAGCAGCAGGAAGCCGATCCTGACGAGGCGTTCGTGAAGGTGCTGCCACCAAAGCCGCGGGGCTTGTTTGATTCCGTAGAGAGATTTTTTCAGTTGGCACACTTTTGTAGGATCGTCGATGAAGCCGTGGGGCTGCTCGACGAAGATCTCAGCGTCCACAGGTGCATACAAGAAAGCGTTGGCGACGTCGATCTGCCGCAGAGGTAACTTTTTTGTGGCCGCGACGGCGAGCAGAATACGCAGGGAGGTATGTCGGGAGAATGGGGAGAATGTCTCCGTGTAGTTGGTTCCGTATCGCTGATCGAATCCACGTACGACCCAGCGAGCCTCAAAGCGGTCGATGGAGCCATCCGCATTAGTCTTGATTCGGTACACCCACTTCCCCGAGAACACATTCTTCCCGTTGGTCTTTGTTGCAGGTACTAGTTTCCACGTGTTTCGGTCTTGCAGGGCCTTCAGTTCTTTTTCCATTGCTACCTTCCATTTCGCCTTGTGTTCCCCCCCCCCCCGAGCCTGCGATAGAGTCGTTGGCTCGCGCGGCGACGGCGGCGGCGGGCTCTAGACGGCGACCCATAGTCCAAGTATCTGCAGTCCCGTGGGTGTGTGTCGAAGGGAATTTTCATTCCCGGGATAAGCTGCTTCGTCACCATCTTTGGGGTCAGGTGAGAAATTCGGTCCGATGCGTTCAGAGACATTTGTGTCAACCATTAGAGGTGTAGTGTAGCCCTGGTCAGCGAAGTAGTCGAAGGTGTCGAGGTTGTTACTATCGATAGGGTTGTCATCGTCAAGTGGAACGGGCACAGAGCAGTAAGGGGGTGGTCCGGCAGCTTTCGAGGCTTCAGGTACGTCTTCTTCTACTGCGTCAGCTTCAGCAGGAGGGTCAGCGAAGGACCGATGGCCCTCGAAGCCGTCGATGGGGTCTGCGGTGTTGGCGACGTTGTCCAGGTAATGCTGCAGCTTCAGTCTCTCGTAGAGAATCACATCACATGAGGCCACGGTGTTTTTGTCATGGATGTCGAGAAGTTTCCACGCGTGAAAATGTTTTGCAATGCCGAGGTGTAGTCCCCACCGTGCTCGTTGAGAAAATCGTCCTGCTCGAGCTGTGTGGGGTCTGTACTCTACCATGGAGTCGAAAACTTGAAGTAATTTTGTGCTGCCTAGTTTTCCTGTCCACAGCAGGTGCGGTGATGCGCTGTTGGGAAGTGTTGACGAGGACAGCAAGTTGTAGAGATGGACTGCATGCGTCATCGCGTTAGGCCAAAGGGTGTTGGGCAGTCTCATCCCCAGTAGCAGCTTCCGCATCGCCGTCTGCAAGGTGCGGTTCATCCTCTCTGTGACCCCCTGCTGCTGGTGAGCGTATGACATGGACACCAGACGTTTGATGCGTCTTTCCGCCAAGTAGCTCCTGAACCTTTGTGACTGATACTCCAGTGCCCCGTCAGACTGAAAACTTTTGAGTTGGGAGCCCGATTCTCGTTCAGCGATGCAGAGCCACGTTGTGAAAGCTTCGAATGCTAGGTCAAGATTCTTGAGGTTGAAGTGCCAGACGTATCGTGTTGCTGCATCGATAACGTAGTTGTACTCTGCTTCACTGTCGTCCAGAGGCATATTTTAAATATCGCTGTAAACCTTTTCCATCGGTGCGTATGCAGGTGCGCTTGGATTGTGGTGCGACGGGAAAGGTTGATGGGGAAGATCAGCTTCGGGGCACGTGAAGCATCGTGCGCGGGGTCGTCGAAGCTCCTGGCCGCTCGCTGTGAGGAGAGCGTCTTTTTCTAATACTCCGTCTTGTATGGTTTGAAGAATTGTGCTGTTTGCAAAGTGTCCGAGGCGTTGATGCCAGATGTCGTCGGGAGCGCGATGGCCGGGAGAACGCCGGTATAGGTCGGCATTGGAGAAGAACGCGACGACCGTAGCGGGACTGCGGCAAACTCCTCGGGTGATGGGCATGAGCT